TGAAGGTGAGTTGATTTTAATTTTTGTTGTTGAAAGCTTAGAACATCCACTCTTTTTCTGCTCCAACTCTCTCTCTCTCTCTCTCTCTCTCTCTCAATCTCTCTCTCTCTCTCTCTCTCTCTCTCTCTCTCTCTCTCTCTCATATGTCCCTTTCCCTACGTTTCTCCTTATTTCTTTGCCGTTCTCTCTCGGAACTGTAGCCTTCTCAGCTAACCGTGGCAAAAGAAGTTATAGTCATAACCCTGGGGTTTTTTTTTAATTCAGACATTGGATACATATACGTAAAATGAAAAACATGAAATGAGATTTTGGGGAGAAATAAGCCAAAACAACACCTATAAATAGATACAGGTTAAGAAGTTGATATCTCTTTGTATGTATAAAGTATTAATGGTTCGGTTCGATTCTTATCAAAAACATTACTTTCGAAAAGACCCACTTCGTGTCTCGTGTTCTTTATAATTCAACAAACATTATCTGGGCTTGCCGTTCCCAATTTCCAGACAAACCATCCATCTTGAGCTGACACAAGTGCGAGATAACAACTCAAACTCAAACTACAAAATATGACCTTATGCAGTTGCAAGCGCCATAAAACGTTATTAAAAAGCAAGCAAATTACAAAATGGTTTTAAGTGCAAGTTGAGTGCTGTGTGGTACAAACTTCAAATTCAGACTTTCAGGAGTTTTTTCTTTAGCTGTCAAGGATGCTGAAAAGATTCTCTTTTGAGTCTTAAGTTATTAGTTGCTGCCTGTGTTCCGTAGAATTGCAGTTTCGTTTTGTACTGACTCCAGTTTTCTTTGCCTGAATTCAGTACTTTCATAGTGGATCTCATCAAAACTCAGAAAATGGATTTTGTGCTGGAGTTAGCGTACTGTAACCCTCAAAAAGACAAAGTGAAAGCCTCATCTTTGGCAAGTTTTTCTTTGTATCTGGCGTTCTGTAGGCTACAATTTAACAAAACAAAAGTAGGTAGGAATCTAGGCTTACCACTCAACATTTCCAAATAAGCCAAGCAACACCAACTTTCATAAGTGCGCAAGTACGAGATAACAACTGACAATCAAATTGCAAAAGGTTTCACTTGAAGAATACAGGGGGAAAACTGCACGGTCGCAAATCTTCCTATATTTGCTTTTTGTTTATTTTGATATGCTTTTTGACTTGTTCCGTATCTCCCATTTACCAGAGGCTTATTTTGTTGCGTACGAGTGGCCTATTTAACCCTTGTACAGAGAAAGAACGGTAGTAGACTTGAAAGAAAGGTAGTTGTCACTAGTATTTGTCCTTTAACCTTTACTGTTTTCACCCTGAGGTCGACAAATATTTGTGGGGACCCACTTTTCACTTTTACTTTACTTTTCCGATCCAGCGGCCATTTGGGTTCTAGCCCTTCGGTCTGCATGGGGACCCACAAAACCTTCTACATATTATATCATTATCAATCTCCCTACGGTAATCCGTCCTAAAATATCGGGGGCAATCGCAAGTGTATAAAACTACGTTCTCCTCTTTCATTGAAGAGGACACTTCATCTGGTTTTTCTCATGAACGGGGAAAATGTGGTCTACTTTTGGGATATTTGTTACTATTCCATTTGCAGGGATAAAGTATTTCATGTAGTACGCTCTTTTGCACCATGTTTTCGGGAGTTGGCGTGTAGGACATGAGGAGGCAAAGTTTTTCCTTCTTGAAGACGATAGTTATTCTAAGATATTTTCTATAAGTGTTTTAAACCAGCGCTTCGTGTAAAAGTGAGTATGTGTATACTATCGGGCGAAGAGGTGTTGAATAATGATAATCAAACTTTGACCTTGTCTATATTTTGAGTCTGTGATAATTTGTGTTTTTGTTGGCAAGTTTGAGAGGGGTGGGGTTTGTTTTGTTTTGTTTTGTTTTGTTTTGTTTTATATTGCTTTTTAATGTTTTTTTGTGGAGCTGATTTTGTTTGTTAGCTTTTTTATTTTGAGTTGTATTTTATAAAGGGGGAGGGGTGGTCTGGTGAGTTTTTTTGTTCGGCTGATGATATTTTTTTTAGTTTTTTAGCGGGGAGGTGTGAGGTAGAAGGAAGTAAAGGAGGCTGCGTTTTGTAGATTTGATAAATATGCTCGTTTGTAATCGTGTTCATTCACTTTGGAATAAGGGATGGGATTTTTCTTTGTTTGAGGATACTCGCTAACCTCTGAAGCCATCAGAGAGCGTGTATATGTCCGCACTTTGACTCTTTTGGTCCCAGAGACAAAAGGACTAACCAGTGTAAAAAAAAGCGTTATAATTGTTGATGTTTTGCACCCCGTTCAACATTATTAAGAATACATTTGTATTTACGAGATGGGCATCTTTGATCCTGCCTTTCAGGGCCAGCCCAGGTTTAGAGGAACACAACGTCCCAGCAGACAGGTGGAGATACTCGATATAAATTATCCCAACACAAGAATTGAACCCACGTCTTTTGCGTGCGCAGGTGAAGCATCTGACCGCTTTTTCATAGATGCCAGTTGTCTTAGTGTGTCTGTTCAAGGATGTGGTAACGTGGTTATAAAACACGGTGTCAAAACGCTTAGGAGTGACCCTGGACGAGAGGGGAGTGAGCTTAGGCTCATTTTATATTTTGTATTGTCTAGCATTACCTGGGTGATGTTTAGATGTGTACCCATAACTTTCACTCTGAAACTATGTGGTTTGCCGTGGCGACCTGCGAAGGATTTGCTGTAAAGTTGACGTTTTGCGCTCCAATTGATATGATTTAGATCATTTCGGCGGCGAACTGTTTTGGCCCTACTTGTCAGTACTAGCCCGAGCTGACACTCACAAACACACACACACACACACACACACACACACACACACACACC